TGTGAGTTCAGGCTCATGCTGTTCAGGGGTGACGGGAAATGGTGTGACTTTAGGCCCGTTGCTGTTCGGGGGGTGACAGGAGATGGTGTGACTTCAGGCCCGTGCTGTTTGGGAAACAAAAGGCATCCCACATCCTAGTGTGTGGGTGGCATTTCTGGGCACCACAACCTTTATCCTCATGGAGCGCCCTGGGGACCCCCTTGCTAGCCGCCTGGGGCCTGCCCAGACTAAGGCTGGCTGGGCTCACCCCTCAGCATCAGGAGCCCACAGAATGACGGTAGGAGTGGCCCACATTTCACACTTGTGCGAATGATGATGATGTGTTTTCCTGTCACCCTCTTGACACCTTCCTTGAGGAAGGAACAGGAGGGCCCTGGGTCTGCCGCTCCTGCCCTTACCCCCACCCATATGGCTATTGCATTTGCCAGGAGCCAGGCTCACCAGTCTGTGACGTCAACGGCGTCATCATTCCATTTCCCGGAAAGGGAGTCGAGGCTCAGCATGATTAGGTGGTGCCCAGTCGGGCCTGCAGTCAGAGCCTCTCCCACACCCACCACCACCTGGGAACATGGAGGATGGTCCCCACCATGCTCCCTATGGAGGGTCTTCCCTCTCTCTCCGTGATACAGCCAGGAGGGGTTGGGCAAAGTATGGGCCCTGGTTCTAGGGACCTGTTGAGCTACTCTTGGGTTTTAAATGTGGGCCCCAGGTGGAGAGAGTCCTAATTAAAAGGAATGAGGCTGTGATGATGGGATTTCAGGCACTAGACAGGTTCTAGTGGGATTGCAGGGGGCTCCCTCCCAGTGTCTCAAAGCACCCCTGGGCTATAGAAAATAGGGGCTGGACAGGCCATCGAACCTAATCCTTACCGATTGTACAGGAGGGGAAACTGAGGCCTAAGATGCCTAAGCCTAAGGACTTGGCTTCTTTCGCTGGTCTTTTGCCTTTCAGTGGTGGGAGGGATTTCAGGGTGCAGCCAGGTGGTGGATGGGGGAGCGGTGGGGGAGGCCCGACGGGGCACGGCTCTCCCGTCCCTCTTCTCTCTCGTCCCACGCCTCCCTGTGCTTCATGGCGATTTGGAGATGTGTTCAGGGGAGTCTACGTGTAACTCTGGGTGCACTACCTTCCCCATCTATACAATAGAAGGGTTAGACCAGCCCCAGACCCCAACTTCTTATCATTTACACAGATGTCTGAAGAAAGATGTTGTGTTTATTAGTTCCTAGTGAAATGTCACTCCAGATGAGGCTGGTGAGGTGCAGAGAACTGAAGCCAGACAGATCAGGGTTGGAATCCTGGCTCCTTCCCTTCCTGCAGGCGAGGGCTCACCTCTCCCAGCCTCCGGCAGCTCATCTGAAGACTGGCCATGACACAGACCCCCGCCCCCCCCGCCCCTGCCCCAGGCAAGACTAAATGAGATCTGGGTTGGAGGACACTGGCTCCTGCAGGCGCAGACAGAGCACCGCTCTAGAAGGCACCGACCATGAGTTAATGACTGGCTCTTGATGCCAGGCCAGGCATGCACCGAGCTGAGGGCTTTGTGGTGCCATTTCCTTCATCCTCAACAACTTGGTGAGGAAACAGGCCCCATACTGCCTTCACTGACCAGTGAGGAACCCAAGGCACAGAGAGGCGAACTCATTGGCACCACCTCACCCAGATTGCAAGTGGGGGAAGCCAGAATTGAGCAAGGCAGTCAGATCCAGAGCGCGTGTGGGTACGCACACCCGTGCCTGTGTGCACAAGTCTGTGCATGTACCCATGTACACCTAAATGCTCCCCTTCGTGCAGAGACTTCCTGTGGGGCTCTGGTGCTGGCTGTTCATTCTCTTGGCCGCGGCACTTCTGGACCAATCCACTGGCGTCCTGGTGGGAGGACCGACAGCTTCTGTGGCTCCCGCCAGTTTTGGTTTTTTTTAAAGATTTTTTTTAATTTTTATTTGTTTGACAGAGAGAGAGAGAGAGTTAGCAAGAGCAGGAACACAAGCAGGGGGAGTGGGAGAGGGAGAAGCAGGCTCCCCGCCGCTCCCGCCAGTTCTGAGAACGGCCTGGGAAGTCCCATCTCTATCTTCCGAGACCTTCGTGAAGGATCCGGGGTCCCCAGGTGGAGACTAATGTCCCCAGGCCTGCCCCCAGGCTGTTGCCCATGTCTGAGCACAGAAGGGAAGGCAGAGGTGTACCTCCAAACCATAAGCACCGGACAAACCATTTCCTTTAGTTACGATCTTTTTTGATAATGATCATCCAATGTAGATGCTGGGAAATTCTTTGAATGAGCATTTGTTGGAAAATTTACTTGTGTGGGTGGCAAAGATATGAGAAGTCTGGGGAACGGTGTTGATTTGCAGGCACAGGGTGTGTAGGGAGGGGGAGACGCAGTCCTTGGACCCAGAATGGCCATGGACAAGGGGCAACGGAGGGTGGGTTGGGGGAGAAGGTGACTTGCCCCGCAGGTGTCAGCGTAGTGATGAGGGAAGGCTGGTCCGGGCTCCCTCCGCTGGCTGGGCATCCTCGGGCTTGTGGCCTTGCTCCTCTGAGCCCTCTCTGCCTTTCCCCACCTCGCTGCTTCCTACCAGCTTCTCCCAGTGCCCATGGCCAAGACCTCATGCCCTTTAAGTGGCCTGGAGGTGGGGGAGGGACTTGGTCTAGTGAGACTGGCCGCCAGCTGCATGGTTTTGCAGAACCTGCTTGGGCTGGGTGTCACCGTGGCACTGGCTTCCCCCTTTCGGGGAATCTGCCTCTTGCCCAGTTTCCTCTCCTGTGATGTCACTTTTCTTGTCATCTGCCCAATCATTTCCCCTGCCCTCCCACTGATGGGACAGGCAGAACCACTGGCTCGTAGGCCTGCTGGAGCCCCGTCCGGCCTGGCCTGCCTATGGGGTGGCTCTTCGGCTCCCCTGGGCCCGTGGAAGGCCGGCACCGCCTGCAGTCCCAGCGGCTCCTGGTCAGGCTGAGTGTCTGCCCCCGACGCTGGGTGCTGGCGGTGTGGTGGGCACAGCTCCTGCTGCTGCCCAAGATGAGCTCATAGCCTGACCGTGTCAGCGGCTTGCTTCCAGAGAAGTCATTTTCTCATCTCATTTCTGTTTCTCATTCCTTAAAACATCCTTCAAAGGAGATACTATCACCCCTGTTTTATAGACGTGAAAACTGAAGCTTGCTGACGCTGATGTGCCCAAGGTTCACACAGCTGATTCATGTGGCAAAGCTGGCCTCCAACTCAGCTCTGCGGCTCTGGGTCCAGCGCTCTGGTTACCATGTCAGATGCTGCCATTCTCCTTTCTTTAGCACTTGCCTTCTCTGACCCTCCTTCCCACTTAATCTGTCCTTAGGGAAGGGAATGCCTGTGTGTGTGCATGCATGCATCCATCCACCCACCCAGGCTTCCTTCCTTCATCCACCCATCCATCAATCCATCCACCCACCCACCTTTCCATCCATCCATCCATCCATCCATCCATCCATCCATCCATCCA